GTGAGGTTGGTTTCGCCACATCTCTCCCCTTTCCCAAAAAGACTAACAAGGTATCTGACCTCCTGTCGGTCAGTGCCTTGGTTAGTCCAGCAACCCACCCACAAAACATAATCAGTGGAGTAACCCACCCCCAATAACCGTTTACTGCACCAGGGGAAACGTGTAGCCTGTCTCTGTCCAGGGGCCTCACCACGGCTGTGTTGGGTACTGGTGCTCCGGATCGGTGGGTTGCATTGTGGGCAGAGACCAGCGGTACTCTGCCCTGGTGCCAGCGCTTCAGCTGGAGTAGCCTGGTTGGAGTTTAGCTGGGAAGAGGGGGTAGTAGGCTCCTCTCCCTGGACCCGGTGCTGCTGCTGGAGGGGGAGACCGACTGTCTCCCCTTTTGATAAACAGTCCTGCTGCTTGGGATCTGGACAGGCTGTCCCGCATCCCTGTAGACCGGGTGCAGAGACCGCGGTCCCATCTGCCCCATCTGGGGGAATAAGCTGCCGCTGGGGAGAGGTGGTAATAGGCTCCTCTCCCTGAAACACTCTCTGCTGCTGGGGAGGCAGACCGACTGTCTCTGCTCCTTGTAGGACTCACTGGGGAAGGGGGACGGTGCTCTCCTTTCCCTTTGAGGGTAGCTGGGGATCTGGACAGGCCGTCCAGCATCCCTGTGGTTCCGGTACAGAGACCACGGTCCCATCTGTACCATCTGGGGGTGCAGTATCTCCCCTTTGTGGGTTAAGCTGCCGCTGGGGAGAGGGGGTAACAGGCTCCTCTACCTGAAATTCACACTGCCGCTGGGGAAAGGAGATAAGGCTCTCTATTCCCTGCAATTCACACTGCCACTGGGGAAAGGAGACAAGGCTCCCCAAAGAGACCCCCAAGCTGTGCAGTGGTCGCAATGGAGTATACTACAACAAGAGCTGAAGGTTACTAAAAAAGAGTTGGCTTCCTGTCTCTGCAGGCCATATGTCAAGGAACCAGTTGCCTTTGATAATGGCTGCAAACCCAGTCTAAAATAACAGGGTAGTCGTTGTCAGTGGGGGAATGACCATGCCTTACCCGTTACAATGGGGTAGAATGTTAGCCTACATTAACAGGTCTGCTCGAACATGTGCTGTCATGGTGCTACTGTCAGTAGGAAACCTGGAGTAGGCAGAGCAGTCAGGAAATAAGGGGTTACCTTGCGGTATAATGCACATGGCAAAGTACAGAGAACCAAGGAGAGACTGGAGATACAAATGGGAACAGGCACCTTTGCCAATGAATGACTCAGTCTTCCTGATATGGTGGGCGTTGTCCGCGAAGGTGCAGGGCTGTATTGACAATAAGTCAAGATGTACGCCTATTAATGTCACAGGTAGTTGTCTCTGATACTTGCACGGGTGTAGAAACCCGGCTGGGGAGCTCAGAGTTGGCAATCATGAGTCTGTACAGCTTGACTTCAGTGCTGTAGCTGGGAGCATTAAGTCTTTACGCATGAGTTCGGCAGAAATTAGGAATGGTCCAGGATTACAAGGAACTGTGTTGGTTGCATCCTTGTATTTGACCAGGGTACAATGGACTAGCTGGGGTGGAGGGTCTGGCGGGGTTACTTGGAAATTAAATAACCTCTTCTAGTGGTAAAAGACATAATATGATGAATAAACAATGAGTAAATGTATTGGGCATGTTGATGAGAGTGTAGCCCTGTACCAACTGGCAGCTCACTAAGTGCCGGCTGGCGAAGAAATTAGCTATACTACGGGAAGGTGGGGCCTTGCTAAATGCCAAGTGGCTCAGAGAGGCTCTAGCTGTGATTTTGGCCGAGGGACTGAGGCCACAGCATGAAGTGGTGTGAATGTTGGCCTCTCGGTGACAAGAAAGAGATTCAAATGAGTGGCCGTGACACTTGAGGCCCTATCTAATAACTTGTAGAGGTTGAGCGAGGCTCTAACTATGAGTTGGGCCGACAGGTGAAAACCTCTGCGTGAGGATGCGTGTTGGCCTCACGGGACTGAATTATGAACATACTAGAAAATGGCCTGCACCAAACCCTTTGCAGCCAGTTGATCTATCCCTAAGAAGTGTAGGGGAATAGAAACATAATGGATTGATAGAAAGTATGTTGGAACGTACGTACATTGCCCAACTAGTGAGGTTGAGCTTGAGAAAGGATCTCGTAGAGAGGAACCTAAAGAAACAATGGGATTATGTCCAGGAGGGTGTACGTGCTAATTGAACTAACGTACCTGTGTTGTGGTAAAGGATTAATACGTCAACAACAGGTTGATAAGTAAGAATGGTGGGAACCCAAAAAAAAAAAGTTAGGGAACTTGTATATAATGAGTACATACCTAGGCCAAACTAAATGAGTGAGTTAAATAGATACCCGACTGAACTAAATCTAGATATCAGTTCCCACTGTGCGTCCTACTAGAAGGACCTGAAGTATGTGTGAGAAAAAAATAGCCTAAGTAATTAACCCCTTAAGGATGGAGCCAAATGTACACGTTGTGAACGAAACAAAATGTAAACAAAACCTGGCATTTGCGCTACATGTCTGTCCAACTGTAATTCACCTCTTTCATATTAAATACACCCACCCTTATTATATAATTTAATTTTTATATATATATATATATATATATATATATATCATTTTATTCAGGGGAAACAGGGCTTTCATTTAATATCAAATATTTAGCTATGAAACATAATTTAATATGAAAAAAAATGGGAGAAAATACGATTTTTTTTAGTTCTACATGACATTTTAACGGTCAATGTCATAATACAGTTTGCTTTTACTGCAATAAAATACACATATTTGTATTCAGTAAAGTCTCACGTGTAAGACAGTACCCCCTATGTACAGGTTTTATGGCGTTTTGGGAAGTTACAGGGTCAAATATAGCACGTTATATTTGAAATTGAAATTCGCCAGATTGGTTACGTTGCCTTTGGGACTTTATAGTAGCCCAGGAAAGAAATTTACACCCATAATGGCATACCATTTGCAATAGTAGACAACCCAAGGTATTGCAAATGGGGTATGTCCAGTCTTTTTTAGTAGCCATTTGGTCACAAACACTGGCCAAAGTTAGTGTTAGTATTTGTTTGTGTGTGAAAAATGCAAAAAACGCCAATTCTGGCCAGTGTTTGTGACTAAGTGGCTACTAAAAAAGACTGGACATACTTGAGGAAGGTGCCACCGGGTGGCCGGTCCGGTGGCACACTGTGAGGGGGGGCCGGCCGTTTGATGCTGGAGCCGCCGGACCGGGTGGCAGCCTCGCCGGTCCGGCGGCATTCCGCTCACTAACACTGAAAGAGGAGGAGGAGGAGCATGTGTCTGTCATGCTCCCTGCGGTTCCCACAATTCCCAGCACAGGATGTGGGAACCGCAAAGGAGCA